TAGATAAAGAAATGTTAAATGCAAAATAATAAATATAAAAATAAAATAATGTAAATAAAAATAAATAATACTTGCGTACAATGTTTGCAGTGCCACCTTTTATCAGTTCCATAAGTAAAATATTGATAAATTTTAGAAATTCCTTTTTTTAAGGAAGATGTGGTTGTGTTTTATACATCAAGAACTTCATTATTAAAGGTATTGTTTTCAGAATGTTCTTCAAGATGTTCTTCAGGAAGTTCTTCAAAAAGTTCTTCAGAATGTTTAAAAAGTTCTTTAGAATAGTCTTCAGTATTTGATATTTTACCTTTATTTTTTTAAGTTCTATTGTAAGAGAATAAAGAATTATTTGTAGTTATTTTTTTAGAAACTATTCTTTAGACGATTTCTCTGATGGTTCTTCTTGTAAAGATAACTCTAACTATATTGTGAATGCACAAGGTATTTCTTGTACTTGTCTTTTTATGTAAGTGCCTTTTAAAAACAATAAGTGGAGTAAATGGCAACAGTAATAAAAATAGTGATGACAACAACAACAGCAACAAGAGAAATTAGGGGCTCACCATCTAATCTAAGGTTGCACTAATTATTATTTTTAGATGATTAATTATTAAATCACCTAGAAATATTATTTTTAATAATTAATCACCTAAATAATATTTTTTAAATGATTTAATAATTAATAATAATATTTATTAAACTGTTGTTAACCTTGATTTACCTTCTAAAGAAACCAAAAAAAACTAAGCGACTGGTGGTAGAAATTGTATTTATAGACTTTAAATATTATAACAATTAACTACAACTGGACAGGTATTACTATGAATAAAGTAATGATAAGAAGGATTTGGGTAAGGTGGATTTGATCGAAAAAGGCTAAGGTGTGAGGTTTTATAAGGAATTTACTAGCTAAGTCATAAAGACAACAAAGTTTCACCAAGAAACTAAACACATTCATGAAGAACTTAATAACTTAACCTAGATCACAAAGCAGGGTTAATTATTAAGTAACTATAATACCGAGATCAC